ACTGTGACATTAATTAAACCGAACTTTCACCGGTTCACGAGTACTGTGCACACCTTAAAATAGTTGGCTTTTCTTATCAAACACAAATACTACAAAAGTCGGTCCCGGAAAATAGGACACCCCTCCAAATTTTTTTTTAATGTGCGCCCCTGTCCCAAACACGCCAAGAACAAGGTTCACAGTTTCGTGAAGGCCAAAAAGGAATCCCATACTTCTCCAGACGCTGCTAAACGGCAAAGCGGATCAACTGGTAAGTAAGTGGTAAACGATAGGACTAAAATGGCACTGGAAAAACCGGTCTTATTCTTCGGCAATGAAGCCCTTTGTTTTATTTCGTTTCGTTTCGTTTTGTTTCAACTTCTCTGGACCGAATTAGCTACACGGTGTCTAAAAAAGTAACCCTTTAAAAAGAATTAAAAATTACCTTTTAGTTTTGTTGTAAACACCCAATCTTCATTTATTTACCTCTAAGGGTTTAGAATGCATTGTAATCGTACGAGCATGCACGTTGAACCTGCATAAATTGTACATGGAAATTCTAATTGAAAGTTAAAACAACTTAGAAATTAGTCCCCCTTACTAGTAGTGAGACTTAGTAGTCTCAGTTCGATTAAAAATGGTTCAAATGACTTCAGAGCAAAGAATTTTTACTGGGTTTTTTGACGCGCTGCGTTAAATTAATCAACTATACCAAAAACTTTTAAATAGTTTTTAAATAAAATTCGATTCAATTGGAGTTGCGCACCCATGGGATTCAAATATAACAACAAGGTGAATATAAATTTCCAAAGGAACACTTGAGACAGCACTAAAACGAAAAGTATAATGACAGGGAACGTTTATTTTACATTTCAGCTTGTGAGTTTAGAATACCTGATAAAGACCGCGGACCGTGGGAAATTGTGGACACGCACGCGTGATTCACACGCAAAAATGTCACATCTTGTAGCAAGTCTGGAAACAAGCCGTCAATGATTATACGATTGGGGGGCGGGGTGGGGGGGCTGGTATGGATATGAAGTAAGTTTGCGACAAAGCGGGCAAACTTTCTAGGGGTGTCTGGGGCGTTTAAAAACTAATAGAAAGTTTTTATCTTGAGTCTTAGATGTAACATTTCAAATCCAATTATTAGGACTGGACTAGATTTCAATTTTCAAGTTCGCGCAATTTGATCATCCGAGACTTGATCAAATTGCGCGGACTTGAAATCTAGTCACTGGTCACCGAGGCGAAGCCTCGGACTTGATGAAATTGACTAGAAACCTTGTTGATCTAGTCACTAGTCACCGAATGGACCATTCCCCAATTAACCAAAATTTTGAACTCAACAAGTCTAGACAAAAAATTTTTATCACAGCTTGAAAGAGCATCACAAAATTAGTAATATTCCAAAGTTTCGTTGTAAAATGTTGTAAGTGCGGATCATATAGCCTTGCGAAGTTTGCAATTTTCAGTCATTTTAGATTACAAACGGGAAATGGTTACCACTTCTGTGCGTAATACAAAATGACTGAAAATGAGAAACTTCGCAAGGCTATATTATCCGCATTTTATAACATTTTGCAACGAAACTTTGGAATATTACTAATTTTGTGATGCTCTTTTACACTGTGATGAAATTTTTGTTTAGGCTAGTTAAGATCAAAATTTTGGAAAAGTGGTAACCATTTCTCGTTTGTAATCTAAAATGACTGAAAATTGCAAATTTCGCAACGCTATATTATCCGCATTTTACAACATTTCGCAACGAAACTTTGGAATATTACTAATTTTGTGATGCTCTTTCATGCTATGATGGAATTTTGTCTAGACTTGTTGAGATCAAAATTTTGGGTAATTGGGGAATGGTCTCGATTGGAAGATTTGAAATGACAACTCACGCGAATAAATCACTACTTAATTAATTTGCATCTAGTCCAAGGACTGAATTAATTTTGATCCAATCCTGGAACTGGATCAATGTACTTTATCAGGTATTCAGTATTATCATGTGAGCAAAATAAAGCAATATGGTCGGCTAATTTACTCATGAATTATTAGTGAGTTTGAGATCTGATAATGCAATCAAGCATGTTACAAGTTGCCAGGCACAGCTTGTTCCAAACTTCAGTTACAACAAATTGGAACAAGCGGTGCGAACACAGCTTGTCAACAAATTTGTAACAACTTGTTTGCAGACAAAGTATAACAACTTGTATGTAACAAAAGTGTGTCATGGTAAAACTGTATCCTATTTTATTTAGATTACTTCAACGCAAACGATTCTGCCAGTGCTAGGGGCGACATCGACGTGACAAATCCAGACCCTGCTAACAGTAACAATTTAAAAGGAGCTCACAGAACTGGACAGAAGGACAGCACCACGGCCCTACAAGCCATCTTCGATCATGCTTTCCAAACATCGGGAACGACTGTAATTTACTTCCCCGCCGGAAAATATCTAATCACTTCAAACCTTATCATCAAAGGTAGAGTCACCTTGATGGGATCTGTTGACGGTATCAGTTTGTTTTGCACCGTAAGTACCAACATGAGCTCCACCTTTGAATTTACTATATGAGTAAATTCTTAAACACGTCCGAATTTATCATTATGATAAATTCGCGGCAAATTTTGAATTTATCAATAGAGTTAATTGTAAAACCACAATAATTGCACAAGGTTTCTTGCTATAAGTGTAAT